AAGATGAATGTAAATGTTAAATGCATAGATGGAATAAAATTAATTAGCTACAAGAAAAAGCCTGATTTAACCAAGAAGCTGCTAAGTGCTACTCAGCAACTTTAGAATTGTATAGTGGATGTTATTAAGATGATTTATTTTGCAAACTCCAGTTGAGAAAAAATTACTTGTGAGCTAGCATTTTTAATTAAATTACAAATATCGGATTATATTTTTTAAGAAACCGTATCACTATATCTTGGATTCTTGGGACTGCATTGCACCGCATGATTCTTAACCAGCTACAAAATCCTTCTTTACAGAGACCAGCTCCTAACGCACCAGCTCTGTGTATTGCTTTCTCTTGCCTCTGAGACGGGAGATAAAAACCTCAGGGTAGCTGGAACGTTGCTTTGTTCTCCACAGCTTGATTGGAGCCAACAAAGTAGATTTTTCCCAGAGTTTCTCTGGGATCAAATCCATGCTTAGCAGCTTAAGTAGCAAGAAAATGCACAAATGGTTAAGAGACAATCTTCCAGCTCTTTTTCCATCACAGCTGCACTGCGTACAAAAAGGGCAACAATCAAAATGTAGCCTGAAGTCGAGTTTTCCTAGAATGTCAAAATTCTGAGAAGTTCCCACAAACTTATGAAAACTTATGTTTGAACAAATATGCTTGAAAGTCTCTTTCCTTCACAGAGGAATAATATTAAAGTAAACATTTTTCAAAAATAATCTTAAATTTCTAGACTTGCATAAAGAGCTGCCCTATGGTTTTGACAGCAGGCATTGCCACTAACAGCTTAACTTCAATGAAGCTGCTTGAACGTACATAACATTTATCCATTTTGGATGAAATGTTTACCTACTCTCCTATTACTTCTAAGGCTGTGAGGTGGAATGAATTATCCCCTTTTCCGGGTTATGCTGAGTTATGCTGTAATTTTAGTTAATACTTTAAACTCTTGGCAGAGAAAAGCAGAAGTAGCAAATAAAAACTTGTGTACCTAACTAATTCGTTTCTGGCCTTAATAAAAATGATGAACAGGAGAGTTACAGTAAGGCAGCTGAATGGAATGAGAATAGGGCCTAGTCAGCTCACCATTCTGGGTGAGCTCACCGTGTCTGGGATGAGAGTAGCAGCAGGAACCATGGTTAATAACATGGGAAACATAACAGACAGGACTCCAGCATTCTGAGATGGTGGTTATTCCTGCTTCTTCCAGATTATTCCTCTGAGTTATTAGTAACCCAGGTTATTGATCTGGTTCTAACTATGCAATCAAGAGGGAACAGAGATCTGACTGGGTCCAGTGCAGAGCCACCAGAGGCTGAATTAGGAGCATGTGAACACAACTGTAGACCTGTTCAAGTCATGGAGCAGCACTGCTGCTTTGGCATGACTGGTACCAGAGCTAGCAGGTCTTTCCAAGCCTGACCTTGGGTGTCACCACCCTGTCTTTGCAGAACAGGGAGTGTTAAGGAGCAGGCTGAAAGACATCTCAGTACCTTGGCAGGACCCAGCTCAGCCCTGAAGTTGCATGCTGTGCTGATGCTGTTACCTCTGTTAGACTCGAGCTGGCTCTTGCAGAGCTACTGGAATGTCTCAGTGGCTGCACAGCTCCTAGTGGCCCACAGCTAGCCAGCTCTGAGCTGGCTGGACAGCATGGAGAACTACCTAGCCCACCTCCATGCCCCAAAAAGGGAAAAATACTAAGATGGCACAAAAGTAAGTCAGAAGTTGGAAATTTAGGCTTCATTATTGTGTTATTGCACTGAATTTGTAGTGTATTGATTATGATCAGACTAATTGTAGGATTCAAGAGGGATTTTTTTCCCCTCTTCACGTATATGAGTTGGATGTGCCAGGCTTCACAAACTGGCCATAGGACACAGGGAGCAGTTCTGCTTCTCATACTGAAAGTTACTTAGGTTCCTAGTTTGTTCATCTTATCCATAAAGTCCACAAATCCAAAGATTGCCAAATTTGGACTCATTTTGATCCAGAGCAGTTTGGCTGAGAGCTACACAGCTACAACACTAGCAATAGCCTTAAACTTTTCTGTCCCCTTCTTACAGCTTTTGTTCTCTTACAGCATAGAGCTTAAATTTGTTAACGTACCATGAAATATTTTGTGCTTTATGAAAGGTGGGAACAGATATCCTGAAGTGGATCTCATAGTGAAATGTATATGCTTGTGTGAAAGAAATGGGTTTCAATGATACAGTCACTTTGGCCATGAAATTCTTGTTTGCTTTTCTGTATTTTAAAGTTGCAGCTGTTTTTCAGAAAGTGTCAAACAGTGTGGAGTAGTGCTAATTCCTGTTGGCTGTATTTCCAAGATGCCTAGCAAGAAAATTCAAGAAGGCTCTAGTTGGTAGGTTGTCTCCTGGCATATCTTTTCTTCCACCTGTTTGGAATTTTTCTCACAGAAAACTGCACATAGTGGATCAGTTTCAGTGAACTGAAATTGTTAATTTCATTATCTCCCTGGTAAGGCCCATTCATTTTGAAACCATTACTGCAATATAGTTTCTTGAACAGCATTAAGTGCTGTATTTAATCCTGGCAAATAGCAAAAAAACCCAAGACCCAATTCTTTTTCAAACCAAAGTGTAATATGCAGCCACATGAAAAAAATGCTGCAATCAAATTGTAGCCTTTCAGTTTTACTTTGGCAAATAGATAATGCAGTAATAATCTGAGAGCATTAAGAATACATAGCTCTCCTTTTTTTTTTTTTTTTTTTTTTTTTTTTTTTTAAATATATGGAATTAAATTGCTCGGGAAAGCATCTTCTGCCACAGTTGTTAATGTTTTTTCTTTTCATACTTACCAATGAACCTCTTGCTTGCTGCAGCTGTGTCATAACTGAATAACATTAATATTTTAATTGTGACTTTTAAGGTTGTGCGGTGTTAAGGTTTCATTTACTCTCAAGTCAGCTTAAATTTTATGAGACTATGGCTTTCCTTAAAGAATTTCCCTAGATGCTTTATCTAAAGACATGAGCACATGATTTAATTGCTTGAAAGTTTAACTGGGGTTTTGCTGTTTAACGGCTTAGTAGGATTAGAGACACTATCACATCAAAAGAGCGAGTTTTCCCTTCGTCTACATCTTCCACCTCCTACTCCCTCGGCTTCCTCCATGGCTGCCTAAATTGCTTCTCAATTTAATTTAGAGAGAAAAGACTTTCAGTCTCTAAACAAAAAATAAATTTAAAAAGTAAAGCCGATTTAAAATATTTCAATTGAAAAGGGATCCTGTCGACTTTTCCCCACTGACATTTCTTGGCAAAAAGTGTTTGGGATTGACTCTTCTGTACCGTGTCAGTGCAAAACACCCCTGGAAACAGTTTCCGCAAGAGCCCTTCCTGGACTCCTAAAACCCGCATTCTCCATGGTTTTGAAACGCTAATTTCAGGCTAATCTAATTAGGCTAATGACTTGCCCACCACCATGCAAGAAAGCTGGGACAATCTCTTTGAGATTTTCCTGCCTCCCAGACGGGCACTTTCTTCGTTGCACCATGCTGGCTCTAAACAGCACGAAGCACAAACTTTGATTTCACTGAAGGGAAAGGGTCTCTAAATAGACAGCTGCTTGGAAGCCAACCGTGCCGTGCGTTTGGGGAGAAACTAAAAAGAAAATGGGTTTTGGTAGTGACGGAACAAAGCGTTCTTAAATACCGATTATGTTTTGTTTTGTCTGTGCCTCAACAGTGTAAGCCTTAATTCAATAGGGCACAGAGCGTGTAAATGTTAGTGCTATCGGTTAGCAGAATGGGCACGCAGGGGTGCAGCTTTGCTCCGCTTATCCAGCGCATCTCTGCGCCTTGGTCGTTTATAGCAAACATGGCAAATCTAGAGGAGGAGAAATGTAGCCTGGTCCCCTCGTAAAGAAGAACCGGCCGAAAGCTGTCCCAATGTCGTGAAGTTGTGAGCTCAGCCTTATTTTTAAGTGCTGACTGAGAGGAGATGAGGGAACCTGAGCGTGTGCAAGCCAGGCTCTGTGATCCTCATCTGAAGTTTGATTAAGTTAGAATCTGGCAGCTCTTCCTGTGAAGCTATTACTTATTTGGCTTTCTGCGGTTTTTGAGCTTGCATGGCACTATTACAAAGCAAAGTGAAACATCTTATATCGTTAAAAACACTGAGCCGCAAGACAGTAGAAAGCCTGCCACAGAAGTTATGTCAGAGGACGTTCTTTTACCATTCACCAACAGCTAGAGTTAAGCCTGTCAATACCACTTTTTTAAAAAAAACCAAACCCTTATTTTATTTTTCTTTAAGTGACAGATGTCTGGCAGGTTTGTGATCGTTTGTTCTATTTGCTGGATTTTAACTGATTTGCTTGTGATGTGTCTACTTGACACTCTTTTTTATTCAAGATTGTTCCCAGAGATATTTTTCTAATTTCACTTTCAGGCTCAGCCTTTTCCCTTCTTATTGGGAGAAATCGTAACGCTTTTTTCTTTTTTTTTTCTTTTTTTTTCTTTTTGTTGTTGTTGCTCTTTTTGTTGTCTTGAGAGGACAGTTATTTCAACAGCGCGTTGCACCGTGACTTCCGTCTCGGGAGAGCCGGGGGGGCAACGCTGTTTTTCGGGGAACTGGACGGGGGGGGGGAACCGCGGACCGGCGCGGAGACCCCGACGGCAGCGACGGCCCTCCCCGCGGCAGGAGGCTGCGGGGGGGTGTGGGGGGGCATGAATCATCACGAATGGATCTACAGCCCCCGAGGGAGAGCCCTGCCAGCACCGGGCTGTGCAGCAA